TTCTTTCCTCAGATTCTGTTCTTCTCTCTCGGCACAAGCACCAGATATCTTCTCCTTGAACCCCGTTAGACCCTCCTTTTCCAGCGTTTCATCGTCGTCGATGTCGAGCCCCTTCCATACGTCCTCTACAACCTTGACCGATTCCGTGGGTTGTCTACCCCTCTTTTTGTTTGCCCACTTCGCCTCCCATACGATTCTCGGCAACCTCTCCTCCCATCTCGCACATGCGATACTGCCATGTCAGCTTCCTCGCGTCTCTTCCCGACCGTAGGGATTGGATCCTCGATTCTGCCCTGACGGCTGCATTACTTGTGCGAGTGGAGCATGCTAGGATGATTTTCGTTGCTTTCATCTGCGCCGCCTCGAGTTCTTTCACTACCTTCTCGAGGGTGGAGGGTTAATTCTACCGAGAGGATCCGATTGCATGAAAAGTACACCGAGTCTCGTCCGTGTTGCTTCCCGCGCAAAGCAAGTGCCCAATTTTGTGTGTGCAATGGTCTCTCTGTCAGTCGTGTCTTGCTGTTATGCCTAAATGTGTTGCGCAACGTCTAACCCTACCCCCGCTCCTCCTCGTTCGTCATGTGTGCACACAGACGGCGCCGGCTGACTGGCGCCAGCAGTCTACGGAAACGTTTGCCGCGTCCATGGACAGCATGGGGTATAACAAGGCGCTGCATCACTTGGAAGGCACCGGCTCAAAGTTTGCGAAGGAGACGCGTGTTCGCTTGCGAGAGTTGGAAGCCAAGGTCAGCACAGCGGTCTCGTTGGAGCGAGCCTTCGAGCAAGCGCAAAGGCGACGTAGAACCAAGGAGGGCAGCCGCACGTTCCAAACGATCCTCCCCACTGCGGCGTTTCCCGTGGACGACGTAGACGGGGCTCCATCGGTGTCAGCAAGACGTAGGGCAGCGGCGCTGGGGGTTCGCGAGCAAGCCTTCAGCTTTGCGGCGGAGCGTGCCAAGAAGTTGCTGTCCGATCTCCAACCAACCGAGGCGATGAAGCGTGGTGTCTACTGGTTTGGGCCCCGAGCTCAGCAAAGCAATGCCGCCAGCGAAGAGCTGCTGGAGTTGATGAGACAGTACTGGCACACGGACGAGGTGTCACGCCAGCATGGCAACTCAGCTGAGCGCGACATGTGGAAGGAGAGCAACTCTCCGACAGCTCACCGCCACCCTCGGCGACACTTACGGAGCCGGGTGGGGGGCGAGGCGGTGTACGCCAAGTTTCTCAACTGGGCGTCCTACAAGAGCTTCAAGGAGCGACAGAGCGACAACTTCACGGACCCTGGCCGTACGCTCTTCCTTTCGACGCGTTGCAAGTGCCTGGTCCTCCATGCAATGGAGCAGTGCGCGTGCAAGATTCACTCGCAGCAGGTGCTACACATCGAGGCGCTAGCCAATGTCGACATGACCAGCCACAGGGAATGCGATTGTCGATGGTGCAACGTAGATGGCGGCCGCAGGTGGCGGGAAACGTGGAAGCATTTGGGCACTTCCTCCGATGCATTTGCCTGCCCCAAGGTCAACTTGCGGGCAGCGGACCCGGAGGGTGACAGTNTTCGACGCGTTGCAAGTGCCTGGTCCTCCATGCAATGGAGCAGTGCGCGTGCAAGATTCACTCGCAGCAGGTGCTACACATCGAGGCGCTAGCCAATGTCGACATGACCAGCCACAGGGAATGCGATTGTCGATGGTGCAACGTAGATGGCGGCCGCAGGTGGCGGGAAACGTGGAAGCATTTGGGCACTTCCTCCGATGCATTTGCCTGCCCCAAGGTCAACTTGCGGGCAGCGGACCCGGAGGGTGACAGTTGGATGGGGCGGAAACCGGAGTGCAACGCTTTGGACTGCGCTATGGGGGGGTTAGGGGGGACTGACGGCATTCCCATCTGCAGCAAGCTGTAGACCTCCGAGCAGACGGTGGTGTGGAGGATGTTCGAGTACGTGATAACTGTGCCTGCATCAGCGGATTGAAAGATCAAGGCCAAGAAGCTCGCCAACCAGACGGTGCCGAAGGAGGGCAAGCTTTGCGATCTTTGGTTGGCTTTCAAAGAGCACACCCAGCTGTACATGGCTCACCACTCTATCGCCAAGTGGCAAAGGCACTGCCACGGGCGTTGCTTGGAGACGTTTCAGGACGGTGAACTTGTCATCGAGACCGACTTTGCCGAGAAGTATCCCCACCAATATTACATCAGCATGATGATGCCTGTTTACCCGCAGACAACGCTCATGGTGGTCATCGTCCGCTTCAACCCGCAGACACACGTGGGGGGTGGCAGGGTGCACGTGACGGAAACATGGATCTTTGCATCTGAGGACATGGCACATGACTGCGATTTCCACCTGCACGGCTTGGCCAGGATGGCGGACCACTACCTGCGTGGAGATGGGAGTGAAGCAACAGCTGCCGCCCGGAAAGAAGGCAGGACGCCTCGGATTCACATGTTTACCGATGGATGCGGGAAGCAGTATAAGGGAAGGCGGAATTTCCGCTTTTTGGCCGACAGCGTCCGGCAAATTGGCTTCTTGATCGACCACCACTTCGCGGCCACATCTCACTTCAAAGGTTGCCATGATGGGATCGGCGGAGTCGCAAAGAACGCCATGAAGAGGAGGGAGAGATTTGGCAAGCGAATCATGGGGGCGGACGGGGTGGTCAGCTTTTTGCGAAGCTTCTTTCGGGAGAAGGCAGGCAGCGAGGGGGAGGAGGGTATGCGGAGGTACTTCGCGAAGTGGTCTCCGTACCGCATGCGGAGGGTGCACGTCGAGTTTACCGGAAAGAAGGAGATTCATCGGCCAAATTCAATCCTGGAAGGCGTAGAGGGTACACGAGAGGTGTACCACTGTGCGGGAGCAAACACTCCCAAGTGGGAGGGGTCCACCTCAACCAAGGGACGCGAAGATGACTCTAAGCTCGTGCTGAAGAGCGAGGGGCAGGGCCAGTTGTCGAGTCTAGAGAAGAGCCGGTTGCGGGAAGTCAAGGTGTTGGGTGCAGTAGCGAGCTGATGGAAGGGTCAGGGGGCTGGGTTGCAGGATCCGATATCGGGGGAGGAAGACGTGAATTGCAGGAAGGTGAAACGGACCTACAGTCTCAGGACTCGTTTGGCGTCGTGCTTCTGCTCGGCGTGCCGGCGTTCTGAGTATGAGCAGTGCTACGTTAGCAAGACGTACCCCCGTCTCGTTCCCGCAATGGAGGATGGNATACAAGAAGGAATGCAAAAAGGAGAGAATAACTGGGACACAGTGGCAGGACGGCGACTCTGCTACTGCATCAAAGACTTGGGACGAGCTTGGAAGGAAGGAAGAGCCCAGTATTTTTGCCCGTTTCGGGAGGTGGGCTGGCATTTAAGTTATAAGTGACATGCTTCTTGTATTTTCTCGTGGAGCAGTGTTGGGCTTCAGAGCCCGTTTGAGGTCGAAGTTAGGGTTGTGTGGGGGGGGCGGTTCCCGAGAGGATGTGTAAAATATCTTGAAACATTTTTGATCTTCTTGGCAAGGCGATGCTGTTCAATGTGTACCTGTATCTCGAAGGCAAAATCGATCTGAAAAAAAAAAAACGACCGCGGATTCGTAATCCCCACCCAAAAATTACCCTAGCCCGAAATTCTTAGATCAATCTGACCACTTTCCAAAACCGGGGATGTTTCAGGACCATCGCCGGGTTTTTGCGTTTTGCGAATTTCCTGAGGGAAATAGGGGAAATGAGTTGAATCCCGGTCAAAAATGGTTCAGAAAAAAAAAAAACGAATCCACCATGTACGTGCCCGGGGTAGTGTGTCATAAATTTTTCAGACCTTAGCCGAGGATGGTTCATCACCATCCCCCCTCCGCAATAAATCTATGCTCATCAGTTGCGGATGGCGCCTGTGATGGAAACAAAAATGGAAAACAAAACACTACCCCCTGCGCCGAGGCCAAAACTACGGAACGGGGCACCGTTTAAGAACCTGGGAGTGAAGAACTTCACACGGAACAGAATCTACACTTGAACTCGACCTTAAGAACTGGTGCTCAGAGAGAGCAAAGGCCCCCACACTAGCTCCCATGAAGTTGATGTCGCAACAACCCGTGTACATAGATACAATTTTCCAAGACGGGGTTCTCACGTCGTGCCTCCTTCTGGCATAAATATCAACAACAACTCGACCCCGAAAGGGCCAGAGACACAACTCCACGACGAAGTCGCTACCGCAACCACTTCAAGCAGCCGCAACAACAACCGCCACTGTCGCAACCAACCACCATAGAGAAACGCCCCAAACTCCACCGACCTGGATAAGGACGTCCTCCGCCTCCTCCCCTTCAAGTCCGAAGCTGCCCAAGGACTCCATGATCTCCAGCGGGGTGATGTTCCCCACGCCCTTGGCATCCAGCAACCCGGCCACCTAGTCAGAAGAAAGGAGGACCAAACATCAGTCGCCGCTTGGATTTCCCGCGCTAGACATACCCACCCTCACGCAAGCAGCGCATAAAGCCTGTGATCAACTAGTTCAAGCCGTCAAACATAATCCGTCGGTTCTTTTCAGCACCCACGAGGTTCTATTTCTCTCATTCTCAACAACAAGTGCAGTGGGGGTCCCTCAGTAGTGCCGGCATGTGCACGCCACATCCACCGGCAGTATACCGGACCCCCGCCACTATTCAGAGAATTGAGACAACTTGATCATCCCAGCCGAGTCACGTGATTTCAGCGGCACCGCAGTACTGGGCAGTGGCGCTATTCAACTGCGGCACTACTGCGGGGCTCCCGCTGTTCTATGCATCGTCCAGGGCCGCGTATCAAAGAGCGTGGCGTTCCCGTACGTCAAGGTGCGTTCAGAGGCGAACTACTGCAAGAGGCGGAGATATCGCACCCCCCTTGACCGATCTTTAAAGCCCAATCGCTCCAAGCCAAGCTTGTGCCAACACCAAACACTGTGGTTTAGCAAAAAAAAAAACACCTCTTGGCGAAGACCTTCCGTATACGTATCGGGCTATTTCCGTGCACCCTTGGGTGTGGAGCAATCGAGCTTTGAAAGTCGGTCTAGGGAGGGGTGCCATCTCTCCGACTCTTACGGAATACCACGGTACGGTATACGGTACGGTACAGACAATCTTGGTTGCGGAGCAATCGAGCTTTCAAAGTCGGTCCAGAGTGTGTGTGTGCCATCTCTCCGCTTCCTACGGGAATGCCTATGGGTACGCGCGTCTACACAAACCCCCGGTAAATAAATAAATAAAAAAAGCAAAATATGGCTCCAGAGCCGCGCACATGTGCAGGGGCCGATTCCCGCCTGGCCTGCTTCAGCTTCCTCCTCGCCAAGTTTCCCCCTACACCGGAAGCCACGGCCCCTGGAGGCCGAAGACAAAAAAACGCCAACGGGGGGATATGAAAACCCACGACAGTTTCAGTCTCAGCTAAAATGAGCATAGAAGTGGGGTACAGCAGTAATTCTTCATGGCGTCTTTTCTCGATCATTGTACAACTCGATTGGTAACGCTGGGTAGCTTGAGGATGGGCCCGCCACTAGAGTGCTTCAACGTTTCTTTGGAGGGTGCTACGTGAGTAGCACCGGTCATGGGCATTGTTGAAACACGCAAGAAACCCCCGACAGCGGTATGTTGTCGGGGGAGAACGGGCCTGTCTGGTACCGTTCGCGTGCTGCAAAGACTTTTAGTCACTCGTGGGGGTGCCGCCAAACAGTAATCTCTATTGGGAGGGTTGTACGGCGTCACTAATGACAGACGCTCAAGTCTTCAAAAACAAGTGCCTTCATGTTGCAATGGCGTTCCGTTCCAAGCAGTCAAGCCCCAAAATAAACACACTTACCGACGGCTGAAACCGCAACGCCTCCGGGCATTGCCAAGTAACCGACCGCAGAAGCGACTGGGATGACGCCCGTCAACACGGCCTGGTTATAACGTGGACACCCAAAACAAGGCGATAGGTACAAAACAGCGCGAATAGGACAACTTGTCAGGATGCTTGGTATCTTATGACCAGGCCACGATCGTTTCTTGTGTGTACGCGACGTCCGATACAGACGAATGCCGTGTGAATTTAGCTCGTGGCTATTCATTCAAGAAGTTGGCGGTGCTTTGAAAAAGAGCGAAAGCGTGTTGGTGCTTGCGCTGCACTCGATGGAAACGCTTTGCTTACAAAACATGGCTAAGGCAAACAACGTAGTCTGGATAAATACTCAAGGGTTGGTTACGGGAGGCATTTACAGGGGGAGACCGGCCGGGGGGATTTGTTGTAGCTGCATATTGCAAAACAAGTAGTGGGTCGATTCAAGCTTGGCGACACTCAATGAGCCGCAGGTTAACAGCCTACCCGTTGAAGGGTCACGCCGGTTGAAAAGCACGTTCATGTAGCTGCTGCTGCTGTTATAATCGCCGTCACTGCTGTTGTCGGAAAAAAAAAAAATGCACCGTGGTGGATCCGCTCTACCCAGTGTGCTAGTTACGGGGGGCTGCGACAAAAGAAACAGAAACGAATGCACGCACAGCATCGCACCATCACGCCCATGAACGCATCCTGCAGCCAATGCAACGGTAAGGCTACCGACCCGAGCTTGTGTAGATTTTCAACGTAGAAAGGTACCTGAAATCACCCAAAAAAACACTCCGAAGAAAACGGGCACTTTCGCCATACTAGACTATGCCCCGCACTGGCGGCGAGAAATGCAAAAACGGACCCTATCGGCCAAAAAAAGGCGATACCTTAGCCACCCCCGGAGTCATCTTGCTGACAGACTTCTTGATCGGGTCCGAGTCAACCTCTTCCTCGATCTGCTTGAAGCTGTCCTTCCCCGTTGGCTCCACCAGCATGCTGAGGCCGGCGACAGGCCGCCTGGGACGGACGGGAGTGCAAAAAAAGAAAAAAAATGGGGCATCTGCTCGCGAAAGGGGGTTGGTACTAGAAAGGGTTGACGACAAACATGGGCGACCTGGTTGCAAAAAGGCGTCGTGCTAGAGAGAGATGACGGGGGCTCCTTCTTTGGAGGGAAAGAACACCATACGCGGCAGCTATGTGCTGCTGCTGTTTGCATTGGTGGCGGCAATGGTACGCGGCGGAACATGAGCCGACGTGCAATTTTTCACGTCAACACTCCGTCACTGGTGGAGCCCCCTCCTGTCAATTACAGAGCAGACAGAAGACAGCAGAAGTGCTGGAATATGACCCTTTCTGCTGCCGTACAAGTGCTAGCTACAAAGGAACGAGTAGGATATCACCCCCCCCTCCCCCGTATCTCCTTCGCCTACCGTACCGCGAATTTACCACACCGCCTGGACTCATTTTCAAAGCTCGATTTCTCCACAGCAGAAAGGAGCGCCGAAAACGGCCACGTTGAAGCCATCTCTTCGAGTTTTCGAGACCTCCCGAAGACATATCGTTTCGTTTTTGCATCCTCTTTGTCGTCGAGTGTTCGAGACTTCAAGATCGGTCCAGGGGGTGTGGTGTCTCGCGTCACATGCGGCAAGCCCAATTATTCAGCAGGGAAGAAACACACACCGACACGATGCTCAAGCGGCTTCGTCATCATGTTCGAAGCATGTTGTCGGCAGGTGTACCTTCCAATCTTCTGTCACCAGTTGTGGTGGCTTTAATAAACTCTGCTTGTGTGAGGCCTCGCGGGTCGACATCCGTCCCGGAGGGGGGTGGTAATCTACGTCATGTATACGTGTACGGGAGTCCAAGACGTTGGTTCGGCAAACCGCATAATTCTTATGCGCTGCTCGGGCATGAGGCTTCCCCTCAGCTATTCTTGGGCGTGGTAGTGGGTGTGGTTTATTTCGTTTGAAGGTACGGCAACACTTGCCGTAACGGAGAGCAGCCTTCAATTACAGAGCAGGCAACCGGGCACCAACGTACTTGAGGAATGACTTCCAGGCGTGCAAAAATGCCCACACGTGTAAACCGCTAAAGCAGCATCCCAACGCCGACAACGCCTGTGGCACCGGCACCCCTCGGGCAACAGCACCATCCACAACGGAAAGACGATCGGCGCCATCGAAAGGACGGCAAAGGTCGGGCTGAAAGGGCAGACAGCAGTGCGTAGCAACAACAGCAGCGCAGAGAGAGAGAGAGAGGGAGAGAGCTGCTCCGAGGGCCCCACACGGCCGCTCGCATGATCTCTGCACATTAAAATCTCATACAATCAGCGAACTGCAACATCATCATCACTTTTTTCGTACCTTGACTGGGCGCCCGCCCGCGACGGCACACCAACCCTCACAAGCCCATCGCCAACGAAAGATGACCTCGGCCTAGCGGATGGTGGCGCTGCCACGAACGCTACGGTGCCTCCTAGCGAGGCGAGGCATACCAACGACGTACAAGCAGCGGCCTTCATTTTGGCCTATCTGTGTGGTGCCGCGTGTCTACTGCTGCCCTCGACAGCCGTTGTTCAATGAGTCCTCTTAAGTGCCACGGGGTGAGCGGCTTGCGTAGCAAAGGCAGTGCTGCGCAACAGAGAGAGTTTGACGCCTTGCCTCTCTGCGTCTCTGCAAAGCTGGCTCGCGGGGCACACACGACGCAAGATATACGAACAGGACACACAGGGGGGGGGTGGTGGCAGCGGTGCCGTGGATGAAAACTGAGCCATTCTGAACAGCATCACCACCTCCATACCTCCATGATTGTGCACCCAACACACAGCAGCCAACACGCCAAGCCAGCTACCCGACGTGGTGGATCCGACCATCCAAGACAGCGGCTGGGCCAGTGGGCCGATCCTTCAAGGTGAGATGGCGGCAGGTAGCATGTAGCGATGGTGGGGTGAGGACACAACACACAACTAGCGGCGGAATCCGGGAATCCAGGTCCTCCTACAAATACATAGCACAGCAGCAGTACAATCCGCCGCAGTTGAACAAGGGGCAACAAGCGCAAAGGGAGTATGTCCCGGGGGTTGGGGGACGTATCCACTTCCTCTGTAATTGCTTCGTGAGCCATCTCAACCTACCCGAGAAGTTGTATGAGCAAGAAGCTCTGCCCGACTCCACGGGTGGCAAAAGCCGTCTACAACTTCGAGTGTAGCAATCAATAAGCCAAACATGACGAGAACGAAATTACGTGCTCACGAGGTGTAAGTGCGTCCCCCACGGACGCGACCGAGGCTTTGGAGGCCGTGTATCGTCTAACCCCCCTGAGATGCAAGCGGAAGTGCAGCAGCTTTCCCGACGTTTCGATGAACACTATGTATGCGAAAACCGAAGCCATCGTTGCGCCTCGCGAGTTCGAGAACATCCATCCTCGACATGACACGAGAACGCGACTCTTGATTACCGCCCTTGTCTTCACGCGCTTCGCGAATACATATTGTACCCCCCCCGCGCAGGGTATGAGATTGCGAGGGAGAAGATTCCGTCCGCTGCAAAGCTGACGAGCACAACCTCTCTCGCGTAGCGGGGACTCGCTACGCTTCAAAATACCTTTGCAGCCAGAGGGAGTGGGGAATAGCCAGGCAGGCAAGGGCAGCGCAACAGGCTTGCGTTGCGGTCGCCGGCGGTGGGATTAACTGCTGTAACACACTTCGAGGGCCACCGGTAGGCTACACGGAGGAACTCCATCCCGTGCAATGGTGATGATAGCGGCAACGGCGCAGAAAACTAACCTCCCGTCGGTGCTTCCGGTGCAGCAAGAAGGGGCGTCGAACTGCTTACATTGTGCAACGCGGAGGAGAGCGGGATCATGCGGTGCGAGGTTTGCCCGAGTTTGCTGCAGCCTCCACGGTTGTGCGGTGCGCTCGCGCAATGCTGCGCTAGTTGCTACCAGTTCCGAGCAGAGCGAATCCCTGTCCAGTGGGCATTCGTACTGGAAAATCGTCGAGGTCCGAGGTAGCACTACATGAATGCTGAGGAGAGCACAAGCTTACGGGGCGGGAATCGGCACCGAAAAATAGTGCGAAGATCGCAGCTAAATAACTCGTGCTGCGAATGCGTGCGACTGCACGAGGAGGAATGCACCTGCAGAACGGATCCGCACCGCAAAAACCCGGAGGCCGCAAGCCGGGCGCCCTACGCGAATAGCGGCGTGAAGGCAGACGGTAGCGTCTCCAAGAGAACACTCGAGGGGAAGGCAGCCGGAGGTGCTGTGCGGGGGCGTGCTGCATCCTTATCGGCAGCGACCCAACAAAGGGAAGGCCGACCACCTGCTAGCAAACATCGCCGTCGCACGATGAGGACGGACAACCCTCTCGTGCCCGAGCTCCCGGGTGGCACACGGGCTGTCTTAGGGGCTCTCCGCGAGCGGCGACGGGCTGGCGGCGGAGCTCAGGGGATCTATCAATATCGAGACGGCGGGCGCCATCCCGCTCGGCGACAAATCATGGAGTTCGAGGACCCCGGGTGCCTCATTCTCCTCCGGTCGGGCGTGTGGACAGTCGACGAGAACAAGGACTTGTTCCGCGGGGGTACTCTCCCATCACTGGACGGGGACGTGGAGTGGCTCGTGGCGGAGTTTGCGCTACCATACATGAAGGAGGAATTGGTGCCCAAGTATCCGTTGGGCACCGATCCTTCCTTGATGAACGGCAGCGCCCACCCCACCTCGCACCGTTCCTCGTTCTTATTCGCTGCAGGGACATTGGCCCGGCCTCTGCACGAGGGGGGCGAGGCGCTGCAGTGTGGGTTGTGCACTCCGAGGACCCAAAGTCGGTGTTGTTGTCGACTTTCCACGCACCCGAACGGAGAGTGAGGCACCCCTTCCCCGGATGGCACGTGGACTGTCTTTGGAACTGACTCTCGTTGGACGGCAAGGGGCTGGCAGCGAAGCTCACGAGGTCCATCGACCCGTTCGTGACGTTTTCTGCTTCACAAAGTGTACTACTGTAGAGTTGTGGTACTTTTTGCCTGTCACGACTTTCCCTCCTACGGAACAAATTTGTGTCGATACTTCATTGATTTTTTTACCCTCCAAAAAACACCTCTTGAGAGCCGTGGGGCGAAATTGGTGACTGTTTTGATATTTTTGGCGAAAAAACTCAACCGAAGACACACTCCGCTCTAATCGAGCTTCCGAGCTAGGTCCATGGGTTCCCCTTGGTGGGACTTTCCTTGCATGTACGATGATTCATTTGTTACTTCTGGATCTTGTCTGAAAAGTTAATTTCTTCGAACGTAGCGGGATGGCATCTGTCTGTGCCTTACTTTGGTGTCGCTATGCTTCCTTTTTTACCTTGAAGAGCAGGGGCAGAACGAGTGAGTGGATGGAAGGCAGTTTTTTTTATGTGGAGAGAGAAACAACCCCCTCACGGTGTCTGTGCGGAGGGCAGAAAATATTTGCTACATCCCCGAATTCGAATGAGCCAGGGGTAACAGAAGCAAGCACCAGCAGTATTACGTTCAAAGTGGCCTTCTTCAGCCGTCCTGCCCGAAAGTGGACAAACAGGTAGGCTACATAGCTGAGGCTTACAGCACGTGCGGCGAAGCAACCATTGCTTCTTACTCGCCGGTGCCATTGTTCAAAACACGGCCTCATCCTCATCCCAACACCTAGAACTCCCCTCTCCTTCCCCTTTTCCACAGCTAAACGGTTCATCGCCCCCTTCTCGGCCAAGGGATTGCTGCACGGGATGACGAGCGTGGGCCCGACGGTCCCACAACGACCATAGCCCTCCGTCTCCATGATCAGTACCAGCACCAGACCCAACCCCGCCGCCGCCAAGGTCAAAATCACAACCGGGGGCGCGACCTCCACGCATTCCACCCATGGACCGGTCTTCTGCACACCCCTCTCCATCGACACTATCACGACAGCCATTGCCACTGCTGCAGTGACGGGCTACACCGGAATCGTCGCCCTCGGAGTTGATGTGAGACGATCGGGACGGAGCTGGTGGAGAAAAGTCGCAGGGGTAGATTGCGTCGCAGAGGGCGTGGAATGGTACCTGCCACCGATTTTTTCACCACAGGGGTTCGACATCGAGTAGTAGCAGACAATCATGCACACATTATAAGCCGGGGTGTCCGTGAGAGAGTAACTGCGAAGAGAAGAAGTTGGGACCTCCCATGGTCCACAGGGGGCGACAATTATCTTGCACGCAACACCATTATTCGACGTGACAAGTTCTGAACATGAAGTGCAGTGCATGAGAGCTGCGTAGCTGCTGCTATGCATTGTTGCTGCTATCCCCTTTCGTGGATCTTCCGAAGCTGCCTTTCACCACGAATCTTTGAAAGGCCGAAATGGATGTCTTGCGGCAACAACGCCGGATAGTCTTGGCCAAATGGTGTGTGCTTTCAACTGTGAAGGAATTCATGCAGTACCTGGGATCCGCCTCCTCGTGCGAAACGCTTCGTCAGAAAAGAGGCGTCGTCGGCACCAATCGACAACCCGTTTCGGCGCATCGCCTGTCCGGCCATCGTTCAAGCACGTTTGAGAACCGCGTGAGGTTGTCGCGTCAAAAGAGCATTTTCACAGATTGCCGACCGTTTACGTGTGTGCAGGGGCTAGGTCTACTGGCGGGTTTCTTGTTCTGCTACTGTTTCGCCGCCGTCCCATTTGCTCCGGTGGCTCGGAGTGCCCACCTATCGCATGGTCCTTGCCCTCTGCACAAGCGAGCCACGGTACAGGGTTGGTAACAAATAATTCTCCCTCAGCGCTGCATGCGTTCCGTTCTACCGCGAGAGCGTTCGGCAATGAACTCTCTCTGGGTGCAAGGGGGTCTCGATCGGCGCCGAATACGGAGAATGTCCATTCCACGATATGGGTTTTGAACAGGTAGAACAATACGAATGAAACCACGCGCTGTTAAACGGGTGGCATCATACGAATGAAACCATTTTTGCTCGTGGGGTATCTTGGGCTGGGCCTCAAACCATCGTAGGGCTCGGCACATGACTCCCTTTTCCCCTCTAGAATTGTGAATTCGCACTCTGTTCGTCCACGCCCGAGTTGGTTTGCCAGGCAATACGATGCGTCACGAAGAACCCTCAGGAAAATGATACGCTTGGAATGACCAACTTTCCTTTCATGGTGCCATCGAGTGCGGGAACAAATGGACCCTGATAAGGTTGGAATCTTGCTTCGTTCATGGCTAGGGACCGAACACGTGGATGAACGGGGCGGAATTCAAACAAGGCTAGGTAGAACGAGACTTCCCACAACCCTCGACCCACGAGAGTCTCACCCACGCTAGACTGGTGCGTGGAAACCTGCCGAATCCGTGTCTGATTTGTGCGAGGTTTTATGCAAAATGGTAGCGTGTACAACAGCACACACGGTATCGCCTGGTTGCCCCCCCCCCCCCCCCCCCCCCCCCCCCCCCCCCCCCCCCCCC